GAAAAATGAATTGCAAGTGTGCGAGCCAAAGTGAGCCAGGTGTCTGTCACCGAGAGAGTCATGGAAAGCAGAATGTTGGGACTCTTGCGTTGAGACCACATCTCCAACACGACGATTAGACAAGCGAGAGTTAAGGGTGTTGTCGTCGAAAGCAACGGGACGAAGTTACAGTGGGCCGGACATGTAGCTTGGCTCACCAACGGGAGAGGTCGGCGCTGATCGTCGACTGATGACATCTCAGGTAGACAAGGCCGCTTAGTTGCCCATCACAACGGTGGGAAGAATATATCAGTAGCCGGGAACACCGCACTTGGAGGTATAAGGCTCGAAGCTGAGAGGAATAGCGAAATTCGTGACAAGTTCACAGCCAGTTCAAGTAATTCAGAAAGTGATAAATTTTATTTTCAGCGTTACCGGCATATCCACGCACGCTGGCAAGTGTGTCGAATATCTACTTATCATAAAAATGAATCAAGTGTGATTCTACATGTTGGCAATCTCCATAAAAATTTTATACATGGTCTAAGTTAACAACTGAGTTAACGTCCAGTATAAAAATGTTCTCCGCCATTCTGAAATACAGCCAGCTACGGCAGCATACAGAAGTTGCAGCCGATAAATTAACTTTCAAGATGTCCCATTCAAATATGGTAGGCGTTCTTCAAAAGAAGTTTTCAAGGAGATCTAGGTACTGTCTTGAATAAGGTTTACAAATACAAAGCAGGAGGAAACATACTACATCAATCGATCATGGCTTCCTCTCTTACGTGAATTACCTGTCCCAGGTATACTGCTTGAACTCATATGTGCATATTGTTGCAAACTCATCGCCATACTGTTGCGACCTCGCCTCAATGCTCAGAATTTTCAAAATGCATCAAGAACAGCCACAACCCCTGCACAAAGCAGGACTGTACATCCGGAAGAATGGAGTACAGCTACGTAAGGGCTCATCCTACCCACGGGTAGCACGGCATTTTGAGACGAAAAATTGTTGCGGATCTTGCTCCAGGTTCAATAGTGGTTGCGCACTCCTTAAACCGAAATGAACTATTTAAGACAGTCAGTATCGATGACCGCTTATCCCTTCAAGTCATGAATCATACAGTTTATCAAATATTCCTGATCCTGTGCGAGCGTTTCAGCTTCGACAGAAGGCAACCTGCATCCGGAGCGGAGTCTGTTTTATATGCTTACCATGGGTAATTCCTGGCCATCCCGGAATCTTTGGTCGGTTTGGCGATAAGTAGGTGTTTCGCTTCCTTTATATTCCTGATGACAAATCCTGTGCGGATTTCTCTAATTAGATACATATCCTTTGAGTGAGTGACTGACTCAAAGCAGCTTCTTACAAGATCACGAGTCCCCCGTTTCAGGATACATGACAGGCCTTCTCACCGTAACTGCAGCGGCTGGAGAAATGCACTCCACCGTACTTCGTCTTGCCCAGCATACCCTTAGGATGGACGTTACTCGGTCTTCACGACTTGGACGGTAGGTTGGGCTTTAAGTACTGGTCAAGACGTAACTTAACAGACATAGTAATCGAATAACTGTGATTT